GATTCCGACTATTGAAAAGGTAAAGTTATTGCTAATTCTTTAACACCTCGTTGCTGACATCCCCCATTGTTTTAAAACTATACTTTAACCTGTGTTGCCTGTCTACATTTTAACTGTAATGTAAATGCTTATTTCAGATTCACCAAGAGATAACTGGTGATCCAGACATGCCTGTTATGTCGAAATCAACATTAAGAAAAGTATTGAAGCATTTAAATTTTAAATACACAAGTCGCAAACGTCGAAGTGCGCTAACAGATCGCAAGGAGATAGTACTATGGCGTCAAAAATACTTGCACCAAATTAAACAATATAGAAGAGAAGGCAGGCTTATATATTACCAGGATGAAACGTGGGTAAACGAAGGCAAGTATTGAATTATGTGGTAATTAACTTTTTATAACCTATCTTTTCTTCAAAGTATTAGTCGGAAATCGAATTCTGTACTTATGTAATACTTAAATTAACTTTGTTAATAAATTTTTGTTACCAAAATGAATAAATAAATAAAGAAATCCATGTTTACAGGTAATATTTTTCAATTTATATGCATATATAACTGTCCTCATGTATAAGTGAAATATTAAATATATTTTTATTTTCAGGACATACCGTCAATAAAGTGTGGTGTGATACCAACATTCAATCTTCACGACAAGCTTTCCTCGATGGCTTGACAACAGGGCTTAAGGCACCAACAGGCAAAGGGGGGCGACTTATAGTTAGCCATATAGGGAGCGAAGAAGGATTTTTGGAAGATGGTTTATTAGTTTTTGAGGCAAAAAAAAGGCTTGGCAGATTACCACAAGGAGATGACTGGGGAAGTATTTGAGGAGTGGTTCACAAAAATACTTCCAAAATTAAAACCAAACTCGGTAGTAGTGTTGGATAATGCTCCCTATCATTCGAGGAAGGTCGAAAAAGTACCAACGAGTGCATGGAGAAAAGGCGATATCCAAGCGTGGTTGACTTCAAAAAAATTTAAATTTTGAAGAAAAAATGCTAAAAGTTAATTTATTGGAAATTGTGGGTCAGGAGAAATACAAATATCAACAGTGTATTGTAGACGAGATGGCCACAGCACAAGGCATTACTGTGCTTAGACTGCCCCCATATCATTGTGAGCTCAACCCTATTGAATTGGTGTGGGCTCAAGTGAAGGGGCATGTCGCAAGACACAACAGAAGTTTTAAAATGGCGGAAGTTAAAAAACTATTACTGGAAAGTATAAGTAGTATTACTCCTGATAAATGGCAAGAATGTATCAGCCATACAATCAAAGAAGAAGATAAGATGTGCACTCTCGACGATTTCATTGACACAGTCGCAGACTCTTTAATAATTCATGTCAGCGATGATGACGATGATGAAGATAGTGATATAAGTATTAATGATGACTAAAGATTTTAATAAAAATATGTTATTTTTACTTGTGCATTTTTTACTGTTTGTAATGAAAAGGGACGTAATTATCACTCGCCGTAAAACCATGTAGAGTACCGCACTTAATAAAATGGATACATTTACTAACAAATAAAATGTATGTATAGACTCAGATGTTCAGACACGTATTGAAATTGAAAAATGTGCCCGGCCAAAAAGGTTTGTAATCTCTGACATGTCAAAAAATGATAGCTGTCAGAATTCTACGGAATGAAAAATCAGAGTTTAGTAATTTAATTTTTCCATTTGTTTATTTAATCTAATTTCGTTATTATTTAATTGACGAATGGAAACATTAAAATTATTGATAGTTGACTGAACAATGTGTATGTTGTCTTTCATTAGCGAATATATCTTGTTTTCATTATGCTGACAAGTAGAAATAGCTTCATTGTATTTTCTGGCATCATCGGCATCTAAGAATCGAAAGAATTTTCATCGAAGAAAAACTTAAGAATTTGACCGCCATATTCAAGAGATCTTTTAAAACGATTTATAGGGTTTTCGGAAATAATATGTGATAACGAATCATATTTAAGATAATTAGCGTTAATTAAAATTTCTAGCGGGTTTATAATATTTACCTTTGCAATCTATAGTAATAATCGCGATATTTTGTGCCTTCTCACAAAAACTAGACGTCCTCGAAATAGATTGATCAATTTTCTTTAAATAAGACTTTATAGGTATTGTTTCCGCATATGTTACTACATTCCAGTAATCGTTGTAGAAGTATGCCATAGAAGTCGGATCGAAGTATAACCCTGGACTATGTACAATTTGTTCAATCGGTTCTTAATAACTCGATCGGAGGAGAAATCTCAAACAATTATTACATAATTTACGCTCGTTTTATTTAATTAATGTGGTATTTTACGTGTTTCCTATTTATGCATATAGTAACATTATTTTTGCTGTTAACCTTAATAATTTTAAAAGGTCCCTTCCAAATTGGAGACAGGGCCTTGCGCAACCTAGGTACTGTTTAATATAGACTAAATCACCTACTTTATAAGATATTTCTCGCAAAGCGGCATCATAGTACCTTTTTGAAGATTCGCTCGATAATTTGTGACGTCACATTGGTAACCATTCAATTTTTTATTGTAAAAGTTATTAGAAATTGAGACATTATTTTTATTCTTTTGAGTCTCTGATTTTTTATTACCCTGTGTTAAAAATAACTTAGGAACACAGGAATCGAGTTTTTTATTTGAAGTGGAGCATATAAATTGAGACGAAGGTGCATCGAAATTAGAATCCTGTGCAACCGAGAATTGACCACAGGTGCGACCTTGAAACTACATTGAAGACTCGTTGAACGTGTAATTTAAAAAATGTTCATCAATATTTTTTGTCATACGTGTTTTATAAGATAATTTAGAAACACGGGATCTAGAAAGATTAATAGTTTTCGTGTCATTTAAATTAATGGGTACGTTTCGACAGATACGGCACCGAAACCACGTTTAGTTTAAATCATCATTATTATTTTCAGAGGCGCAAACAACGTGTACATAAAAGCGATTATTGTCCGGCACATTACTAGTGCTCGGTACTCGTGTACTTGATAGTGCAGTACACTCATTGGGGAGCATATTATTGTTTTTAAACTTGAGTTAGCGACATATTTTATTAGAATTAAAATTAGAATGAGGTTTATTATAATAATTATTTGGATTATTTGAATTTTCATTATGCAATGAATTAGAATTAGAGTTAAAATGATGGAGGTTAGGATAGGAAACCTTTGATTTATTTTTGTAGCACTCGGAAGAAGTGTGTCCGAGTTTGTGGCAAATTGAGCACGATTTAAATCAGCGCAGGGATAGTTTACTTAATTTAAATAGCTTTTCATCCTCGATAGTATGGGTAGTCGCCTCGGATAAAGTTTGAGGGTTCCTACAGCGTACAATATGCGAGTAACTAAGATTCATACCCAATAATAAAGTATTCAAAGCTAAGTCTTCCATTGCTGCAAGTCTACCTAAAAGTTCTTTTTCGTCCTCACAGCTGTAGTGAATATTGGATTGGATCCGCGTAAGATACGATTCAATCCTTAACGAATACTGTGTCACATCTTTAGAAGGCAACTACTTATCTCACAGCTCACTTAACTTTAAATTATTTACGTCAGACAACTTGATAACAAATGAAGTTGGTGAAATTAAAGCTATACTGATAGATATGATATGTTCAACTAAAGAGCTTCTCTCATAATCACAGTTTCATGTACAGTTATATGTTTAGTCATTTTGCCAAACGTAATAATTAGGTAAATTATTTCGATAATAACCACCGGTGTGGGCAGCTATTTAAAGTTTTGATTGAAAACGAAAAAGTTTTCAGTAGCCACTATTATTTAATTTATCATTAGTTTATTACGCAGTAAGTAGATGAAATAATGAAAGCCAAAACTATGCTATATAGTAATATCGCAATAGAAGGTTGGGGTGTGACTGGAAAGCAGCGAACATTTATTTATTATATAAATAAGGCATAAAGTTGCGTTTATTCTGCTAAAAACTTTGTTTGTGTTAAAACATGCTATCAGCGCCGCTAGCGGTGAAAAACTATTTGACGGCATGACTATAATATCATGAAATAGCAATGTTGTTTAGTTATTTGAGCTTAATATCGTCAGTCGATCGCTATTCATTGATTTGGACAAGCAATATTATGACATCATGGTCAACAAATAGTGTTAAATTACTAATATTATTTGACGATTTTACACGAAATGACAGACTACTTTAAGATATTATCAGTCTACGACCTGGCCATGACATATATTTAAAAATCTCTCTGATCAAACTATAAGAGAGAATTTTGCAATAATTGCAGGCAGACCAGTTTAAATCAGTTTACATATACATTAGTAAATGAACTAAAAAGCATATCCACTTTCATATTTTTCTTAGACGTCACAACATTATCTATTTAAATTATTATCTTTTAAAATGAAATAAAGAAATAGCTAAAAAATAAATTTTCGGATTTTTAAATAATTTATGAATCTCATTATTTTAACATACGTAAGTTATTTAATTATACATATTTTATATTATTCATTAATATTAGTAAGTGAAGGCAAAATGTAATTTTTCTATTAAACAGATGGCGGTGTTTGGAGAAAAGAATTAAGTGCCTACGCTTGTGAACTATTAGAGAAAACGACGAAACAATTGCTGTGATGGTGATATAAACCTCAAGTTATTTTGATCGCTTGGGCGCCTTATGAACTTGAGTGGCTGTCGTCATAAACTGTTCGCATTGTTGAACTGTCGTCGAAATCTCCCAAGGGCTTCGCAATGCGATGCATCACATATTGTAAAAAAAAGAGTATATAAAAATGAAGATTCCGAAAGAAATGATCAGGCTCAGAAGGGTTAGAATCCGGAGCCGTAAAGCCAGTTAAAAATATATTTGATTTGACGTTGACATTTGACATTGACGTTTTGTAGTATTTGTTTTCATCGTCTAAAAGCCATTTTAATCATATAAAATTTTATCATTTTATCATACACAACACGTGTTATGTGAAAAATTATTTAATTATGACTAGGTTTGCAAGAGCGAAAGGTTCCAAATCCTCTAATGAAAAGGCGCCTGAGGATAGTACACCATGGGAGGTCATGAAAGAACAAATAATTCAGTCAAAGAAAGAAAGTGAAGACGCAAAGCAACGAAAAGAAGTAAGATATTTTTAGCCAATATGTGGCAATGCTTAATAAATGTTTTTTTTTTATTAATAAGAACTTGGAACTTTAGTATTAGTATTTCTTTTGGGTTCGCTTAAGAATCCAGTTACCGTAAAGTAAAGTAAATTAGTTACGTATTAAGTTAATTAATGATAATGTATTTGATGGATAGTTTTTGGGGTTCTGTACCAGAAGGTTAACCAACGGTACCCTATTACTAAGCCTGTCCCCCTGTAGCCGCTGTCCATCCGTCTGTCTGTCAGCGGGCTGTATCATAATCTGTAATAGGTAGATATTTGAAATTTTCTCAGAATGTTTATTTCTGTTGCCGCTATAACAATAAATAATAAAAATAAATTAAAAATTAAAGGGGGCTCCCCGACTAGAAATGTAGTTTTTCTGGCTTTTTACCTACTTCAAAAACGAGGAGGTACTCAAGGGTTGGGTTTGAAATTAAGTCGCCTGAATTTGATGATTCTGTCACTATGGCCCTCCCATGCGAGTTCAAGGGGGTTTATCTGAAGCAACCCCATGTGATTGTTGCTGCTGCATTGAAATATATTTTTAATTATTTTTTAAAACTAATGTAAAGAAAAAGTTACAGCCTATATATGGCCCACTACTGGGCACAGGCCTCCGCTTAATTCTGAGAGGGTTTTAAGCCAAGGAATAGTCCGCGATGCCCCAATGCGTGTTGGCGAACTTCACATGTCTGAAATATTTTTTTTTCTTATTTCTCAGACATGCTGGTTTCCTCACAATGTTTTCCTTCACCGCCGAGCATGTGGTAAATCAGCACTTAAAATTGTAATTAACAATTTCGTTGGTGCTGGCGGGGATCGAACCCGGTTTGCTCGCATATTTTCATATTTTGAAATTTACAGTGAGCGCTAACCATCTGAGCTACCACGGCTCTTAAAAATATTGGTAAATAACCAACTTAAGGTGAAATAGCACATACATATAACTAAATACTAATGTTTTTGAGGTTGCTTCTGTCAAAGTCATCTTAAAATGCGTAAAATTAATCGCTAGGCTGGCCATTTTGTTGATAGTGACAGATATACTTTACGTAATTTCGTTGCTTCCGAGTTTATGTGAATGTGCCCCCTGAACTTTTTATCTGCCCCCACCTGTTTGTCGACGGTTTCGCTACTCCTCTGGATCCTTTTTTTCAAATGGTGTTAACTATAAATTATGTTTATAATTTAAAGTAATTATATAACTTAATATTTTGGTGTTTTATAAGTGTAAGAGTGACCGAAGTGAGCTTGGGACTTAGGGCACCCCGACGGGTAGGTTTGAAGGGGATGTCAGGGTCGAGTAAGCAAGCAAAGCAAACAAATAGACCCTGCCATCCCCTTCGTGGTTATTTTTTATAAACCACTCAGAAGTAGGAGCCCACGACTGCGCTAAGTTGAGTGGCATGGGGCTTCCCTCCCCCAACTCTCTCCCCCCATAAATCGGGTTCATATTGTCAAAAACATTACAAAAACAAAACATTAAAATGAGATATTTAAAAATTTATAAAAAAGAACTAAGCATGTCTGGCAAGGGGGGAAGTGGGGGGCGACTCTACAACTCCGCCCTAATTCAGGCGACTGAATTTCAAACCTTATGTATTTTTTAACCCTTCAATCCCAAAAGACCAGGGAAGAATTGTTCAAAAATCATAAGTAATAAATAATAGACTTCCATGTTCTGTCAAAAAATCTTTATAATATCTTAATACCTGTTTTAACATATTGTTATGATCACTTATATGCGCTTCACTTGTTTCTTTTACAAAAGTATTTAAAAAGTACCTACATAGTATTAAATCTTGTATAATGGAAGGAAACCCTTCATGCATGAGTCTGACTTGCACTTGGCCAGTTTTTTGATTGTATACTACGTTGATATATTGATATTAGAAATTAGTAATCTCTATTTATTAAACATATTACCCAATACTAAAACAGTTTGGCTGGAGTTATATTAAAATGTTGGAAAGCTGGAAACAACATTAGTTTAACTCAAGCAAAACCGTTTTGGTATTGAGTTGTGTTGATTTTATTTGCAAACATACAGGCAAATATAATAAAAACTTAAAACAGACAGATACGCGCAATGCCGATCATCCGCTTTATTACAACAAAATAGCATTCTTATATATTAGGGCTCCAAATACTATAATTCTTCAAATAACAGCTATCTTGGAGATTGCAAAATATGTACTTTGGTTTAGTTGTAAGGAAAGTGAATTTTGTATGTGGCTAACATCATTTGGATATTTTTTTAGCTTGCCCATCTCTCGTATATACTGTATCCCTCACCTCCCAAATATATGTGTAGTTTGTGCAAAATATGATTTTTAGTCATTGTTTCTTTTGGTTAGGCGCTTGCTGTATTGTTAGTTTGCCTGTATCTATTTAGTCTAAGCCTGTGCAAGTTTAATGGATGTGGTAACTTTCTTGGCTTTCAAAAAAGTGAATATACTTTGAATGAATGTTAATAAAGGTCTTAATAAAGGTCAATTTGAAATGAAACTATTTTGACTTTGATTTGGGCTTTAAATTGAATTCTAATTACAGGCTGAACAGCAGCGCATAGACAACTATAGCAATTTCTTAAAAGAACGGAAGGTTCAAAAACGAAAAGCCACATGGTGTGATTTCCTAGAAGTTGATTCTAAGAATTCTAATATTGATGCAAGTCAACCAAGTGAAGCAGTACCAAAAAAGAAAAAGAAAAAGAAACAAGACAAATTAGATAGCCAACATGTAAATAATGCAGCATTTCATGAACCGCAAGTTGAGCCAAAAAGTGTACCAGAAAAAGAAAAGAAAAAGAAAAAGAAGAAAAATAAGACACTTAATCAAGATACAAAACAATCATTTGAGCATGATAATCATCAGAAAGACAACAAAAACAAAAATAGTGTTGAAGATGACAATTCTCCACAAGCAAAAAATGGTGATATTATACGAAAGAAAAAGAAGTCAAAAACCAACTTTCATAATGTCGAAAAGGATAAAAATGTAACATCACTCAACAGTGAAACAAACAAAAATAATATCCAGAATAATAATGAACAAAAGTCAAAAAAGAAAAAGAACAAAGATCAACCAATACGCAGAAAAGTAATAAATGATAGAAGCTTCCAACTAATAATTAACGGTAAAGAAGTTGAATTGGTCAGATATGATGGCTTTCCTATTATGAAAAAAGATGCCGAACGGCTAGATGAACTGAAAAATAGTATGATTAAGAAAGGGATACCCAAAAGTGAAGTACAAAGGACTATGAAATTAGAGAGAAGGAGGGCAGAAAAAGCTTTAGCTAGAATGAAAAGAGAAGTTTGTTATAATTGTAGAAAAGGTGGTCATAATCTTTCAGATTGTCCTGATTTGAAATCTAAAATACCAGGTGTTGAAGGAGCAGATGGACTTTGTTTCAAATGTGGTTCCACAGAGCATAGACAGTTTGAGTGTAAAGTACAAAGAGATAAAGAGTTCAGATTCGCAACTTGTTTTATTTGTAAAGAAGCTGTAAGTTAAATGCTTAAATTTCTAAAAAAATTACAGTAAATATAAAAAAAGAGTAAACTAAATGTTAGTGTGAAAATTCTCATAGGATTCCTATTTGTATTGGACATCAACTATGATTTGAAATTTGTTAATTTTTTTTAAAGCTAAAAAATTTAGGTGCTAGCAGCACCATTAATATATTATTATAATCTTTTCAGGGCCATATTGCTCGACAATGTCCTGATAATCCTAAAGGACTATATCCAAATGGTGGATGTTGCAAGCTTTGTGGGGATGTCACTCACTTAAAGAAAGACTGTCCAACAGTGAGTAAAACTATGATATATTTATTTGTTATGTAGGTATAAATTCATTAAAGGCGAACATAGCTCAGCTGATGCCATGGTTATGTCACTGCATCTTTAGAATTCATAAAAAAAAGCTTTGATTTTAGGATAATATAAGAAACTACAATATCACACACACACACAATATATATAAATTTAAGTTTGGTGTGTATTATTGTAATAAGTTGTGTGCAATAAAAAGTATAAATAAATAAATATCTGTACCTTCCATTGTCAAATATTTCCAATTTCACTTTAGATTTTTGTAAAAAGAATTGAGTTATTTTGATGGGAAGAGAGTTTTATCTCACTTGATGGTAAGTGACTACCGTGGCCCTGATCAAATACAAAACCAGGGTAATTGCAGGTGCGTAAAAAGAGTAGGCTATTTTCTTGAAGGTCCCTAAGTCCATCGGTTCGCAAAAATTGCCGGTGTTTGCAAATTTCACAAAAAAGTTGTGCGTGGAAGAAAACTTCTGCTAAATCGCACAGTGGTGAACCACCAATCGTGAAATTTAGCAGCTGTAATTAGTCTGAACTGTTGTAGATGCGATAGAATATGCAAAGGGATGCAACATCTCTGCAGCACCAGTAAGTCAAGCTAATCAGAAAGAACTTGGTCGTTAGAAATTTGAACTGCTCTGCGCTGTTTTTTTTATAGAATAAGGGTGACAAAAGTGCACACAGTCCTCCTGATGGTAAATGGATACTGTGGCCCATAGACATCTATATTTACCCTAGATTAAGATTCGAAATTCAGATGCGTTGTCGCCCCTGAGGACTAAGATGGAGTGCCTCGTATTCAGTAAAAAGGGTCTCCGGTTCATTACACACACCGTACGAAATATAACAGTATTAAGTTGTTATTATACGCTCGTATGCCCTTCTTCTGTTGAACCGACCCATTCGTGCTACAACCATAATATAGCTGCAGCATGGCTCTATCACATATACCTAGATATAGACAGTATATTTAAATATGAAACTTTGTATATATTTTCGTCTATTGGTAGCTTAATACAAATTAAAGTTTCGCAATTACACACCATGGACTGTGCTTAAATTTTAATCATTTTTAAAAGAAACATGAAAAAGGAAAAATATGTATAATATATACCTGCTTTCTCTCTCACTCGTCGTGTAGCGACGTAAGAGAATCCACTACCTATATCCCGTGAGTGCCGTAAGAAGAGTCAGAATTAAATGAAACAGATGGGCGACAGTATCTTCCTGATAACAACTTATAAAAATACTGCGGTTAACAACCCGCCTGACAAGCGTGGGTAACTACTGGAAATATCCCGCCTATGAAACAACTTAAGGGGATCCTCCCCTTAAGTTGTTTCCCCTTAATGCTTTGCAGTGAACTTTTAATAGACTGCTATGATACCATTATCATAGTGTAAAGTAGCCTATTTAATTGTCTCCTTAATCCGTCGTTGGCGTTTTAGTTAAGCGATCGTTACATCTGTCACTTAAAAGCGTCAAACAAAATAGCTTGTAGGCGTACCAGTAAATTTTCTTTTGTGAATAAAATTATTATGAAATGTTATTTATTTTGCAGCAGAGCACTTGATAGTGCTTGACAGTACATAACATTATGTGGTACTTTATAATCGGAAACGGTGTCATTTCAGGCAAAAGATAAAAAAGAAGAAAGCTCAATAAAATTGCAGACTTTGGGCGGTGCAGATAACATTGAAGATATTAGTCAAAAAGAGGAAAAAAATGTTACAGAGACAACAAAAAAACCCAAGAAAATAAAGTTTTAATGTTATAAAGTTATAAATAAAAAGTCCTTAATTTTATAAGCATTGTTTTAATTTATTCCTTATTTTTAGGCCGTAATTTGGCTTTCTAAATTCTAAATGGAAATACACCACAAATTATTAGCCTATTGTATTTGTTGCACATGAAAATGTAACTTTTTTGTTATAAATTATCAAAGAAAGATCAATCTGAATCTGTGCAATGTTTATAATGCTTCAAGACTTGCTTTCAGTTGCTCCATAGATTGGTATGCAATTTGTCCTGTAATGCCTTCTGGACTTTGTGGGTCTTCCCGACTCAGTATTCTAGCTGAATCCGCGAGGCACTGGATAGGTTCTTGTAGTCGCTCTTTTAATTTCTCTTTTGTAATGAGTCCAGCACTGAATTCGCTTCTTGCTAAATACATAAGTGGTGCGTGAAGTTCGTAGATCATCATTGCTGTAACCAACAGTTTAACATTAAAAAGTGCCCGTTATATGTAGCCATAATAACCTGGCAGACTTGTTCTAATTTCTGAGGGGTTTGAATGCTAGGAGTAAGTGTTCTGTGTTTGAATACCTTAATGTGTGTTGGCGGAATTTACTTGTCTTTAAAATGCCTACCCACATCGACACAGTACCACTTTTAAATGTTTTTAATATCAAATTGTTCGTCATTTATTCCAGACTAATTGTAAATTTAAATATAATAATAAATAACATGTGTTGACGGTAAAAATTGAGGTGTACTAGAGGTACAAATTTTGTACTCAGAGTATTTATTTTTTTGAATACCGCTATTTAAACATTCATATATTTGAACTTAAAAATAAAATCTGTGTACTCTTTGAAAAATAACACCTGTATATATGTCTTAAGAAAATATCGAAATTTTTTACTAAATTCGAAAAGAAAGAACAGATACAGAAGGAGAACGGTTTGGTCATGTTTTTTTTAAATCTTATGTCAGCATAGAAAACACGGATGACCGGCGGACCAGAGGGGAGTAGCCATACGCAGGCGTTCCCCCTCTGTCAAAGTATAAGTCCACGCGGTCTAATGCGTACAATTAAACTAGGTACAGCCGCACTGCTCACTAGACTAAATTTAGTTGTGTGGCTGAATCAACGTCCTACAAAAATGCCGAATTTTCGAATTCGAATTTCGAAAGATCGATCGAGCGACTGATCCGAGTTGTCACTGTCACGGAGCTATCCATACTAATATTATATTCCATACTATAATATTATAAATGCGAAAGTGTGTTTGTTTGTTTGTTTGTCCTTCTTTCACGTCGCAACAGAGCGTCGGCATGGCATGATTTTTTTTATTATGGGGATAGTTCGGTGGCTGTAGAGTGACATAGGCTACTTTTTTCCGCGGAAAAACATCTCATTCCCGTGGGAAAATAGAATATGTTGCAAAAGTTTGTCCTTCTTTCACGTCGCAACAGAGCGTCGGCATGGCATGAATTTTGGTATGGGGATAGTTCGGTGGCTGTAGAGTGACATAGGCTACCTTTTCCTCGGAAAAACATCTCATTCCCGTGGGAAAATCGAATATGTTGCAAAATTAAATTCAGCTAGGTGGCGCCACCGCGATTCTACAAGACGAACGACGGTACGATGGACGAACACAGAAGGTCAGAATATCTGGATTATTATGTCTTTTTACCAAAATTAAGATAAAAAATGTATGGATCTGTATTTTTCCACGCAGGACCGGGAAGAGAGCGATAAAAAACATAAAATTCACCAGCTGATTTTCTTCAAACGTTTTGGTGCATTGTAATTCACAGAAAGAGCGACAATCTCGCAGATGATATTATGTAATCCGTTGATGCTCTGCCTACCCCGCAAGGGTTACAGGCGTGATTATAAGTATAGATCAGAAATACTATCACCACCTGTCACGCTTTAACACTTAACTATTACTTAACTGTGGTAGAAACAGTTCTTAGTAAGCCTTAGCCTTAGTAATATTTATTGAACGGAAATGAATACAGTTCTTATATGTGCTTATGAATGAATCGGTATTACAAGAAGAAAAATTGTGCAAAATTATAAGATAAATATTTTTGAGAGTTCTTATTATCTAACGTATACATAGTTTAAATTGATTTCGGTAGATGTCGTTACTAGGTTTTTAAAACGCGGTAACGAAATGTTTCCTGACATGTACTTAACTCCCGCCATTGAGCCGCGCGTCAACTTATAGTGCATACGGTACCTATACGCTTAAATTGTTTCTATTTCGTAGCTTATTCGATTACCTGCTTTCGATTCCGTTTTTTGTATTTGCTTTGTGATTTGTTTAAGGTTGAATGGATTTATATGGGCTTTCATTTTCGGATTTGTGTATTTTCTTGGATCGGTTTTGTTGGTTGGTATACCTTTATACATATTTAGATTCTGGCTTTGATTTTGGATTTTGTTTATTTAGAATCGTGAATTGGTTTTCGTTGTTTTAGGTTGTTTAACAATATTTCAAAGGAATATTAATAGTATACTAGGCTGCACTAAAAGTATCGGGAATGGAATATTTCCACTGTTCTTGTCATATTAAAATCTTTTTAATTGAAAACTCCTTGGTTTTAAAAATCGAATACCATTTAGTTATTTAAAAAAAAAAGATTCTCTTGTCACAAGGTTTTGTCAAACTTGTTTAGTCGTTGATAAAATGGAATTGACTCGAGAAATTCAAGAGCGATGATTTATTATGACTCTCGAAGTGGTTTAACACAAAAAAAGTGTGTTGACCGGATGATTTCTGCATTTGGTGATGAAGCCCCATCCAAAACCACAATTTATCGCTAGTTTGCTGAATTTCAACGTGGACGTGTCAAGCTCAGTAATGATCCTCGTCAAGGTCGTCTAAAAACTGCAACCCAAGAAAACGTTGATGCTGCACGTAAGCTGATTGAGGAAGATCGACATGTGACATACCGCGAAATTCATGCAACTTTAGACATTGGCATGAGTCAAATATTAATAGTCTTGCATGAACAATTAGGTGTAAAAAAGTTGTATTCCCGATGGATACCGCATTCGCTCTGTGAAGAGCAAAAAGCGGCTCCCTTGGTGCGTCAGAACTCTCGAAAGATTCCACACAGGATCCTCAAATGCTGTATACAACATTGTATCGAGTGTCGAATCCTAGATATACGCGTACGAACCTGAAACAAAAAACCAGGCACGAGTTTGGGTGTTCGATAATGAGTTAAAGCCAACAAAAATTGTTCGTTCACGGAGTGTTGCAAAAAAAATGGTGGCCACGTTTGTCTCCAAAACCGGCCATGTTACGACTATTCCTCTTGAGAACTTCTGAACTCCGTAAAGAGAACTGCAACCGCCGCATTATCCTCCATCACGACTGGTGCGAGTTCTCACACCGCACACAGAACAAGAGTTTTTAGAGCAAGAAAACATAGAATTATTAGACCATCCGCCGTACAGTCCCGACCTAAGCCCTAATGATTTCTATACTTTCCCTAAAATAAAGAATAAATTGCGTGGACAGAGATTTTCATTACCTGAAGAAGCTGTGGACGCCTACAAAACGGCCATTTTGGAGACCCCAACTTCCGAATAGAATGGTTGCTTCAATGATTGGTTCCATCGTATGGAAAAATGTGTCAAATTTCGCGGAGAATACTTCTAAAAGCAATAAATACATTTTTAAATAGTAATGTTGTGTCACTTCCTTGATTCCCGAAATTTTCAGTGCCGCCCTCGTAGATAGTGTATACGGTACCTATACACTTACTTCTTTTTTCGTTGGTTATATTTATATTGACTACTGCTTTCGATTTCGGTTTTCTGCGCTTTGTTTTTTATTTGGTTTAAGTTGATTCGATTTTTTTTTGGCTATCGTTTTCGGATTCGTGTTGTGTCTTGAATTGGTTTTATTGTTTTGATTTTAAAAAATATTTAAAAAGGAATATTTATTCCTTTTAGATATTTTGGATTTGCTTTAAAAAACATTTAAAAGGAAATTTAATTCCTTTTATGTATTTTAACGTTTTTTTTTTGTAAGTAGGTTTTTTGTTACTTTATAATGCCTCGCAAACGAAAGTCCAGCCTTTCAAAAGTATCTTCTCAAAGAGAAGCGAAAAGATTAGCTTGATCGCTAGAATCTTTAAAAGATGCTCAACTGAGAAGGCAAGAACAAGCAGAGCGTCAGGCTGCTTTTAGAGCGTCAGGCTGCTTTTTAATCGGGGGCGCTTGGCAATGGAGTATAGTGTGGGGTACAGCAGTGGTTGCCACACGTGGCAGCGCACGTGGTTGCTGTACGTATATTTTCGGAAAAAACGGTACGGAACAGACACAAAGCTTCTTAAGAACTTGCAAAATTGTTACCTATTTTGGTAGGGTTGTCACTATAGGTGAAGACAAATTAAAGCTCTAGAACGTTTACATACATTTTGTGACTGGATTAAAGTATATCTACAAACTTGTTTGGAAGAATGCTTGTCTAATATTTAACAGTTTACAAAAGACTTTAAAAATAAAAGAGTAGCCAAAAAGGAAAAGATGTTGGATTATGAAGCCAAGGGTTAACCTATACAGTCTCCTAAAAGTCGGTATTAAACAGACTTTTTCAACACCATGCTTGTTCAATTATAACAAATATGGATTTGTGTTTTATGGCTTTAAATCCACATTATGAAAATTTTCGTCTCCTTTATGATTTAAAAAAGTTAAAAAGTATTCCAAACCATCTAATATTAAAATAAATGTCAAGATTTACACACAGCCCTGCGAGTGGGTGAAAGCAGTGACTTTCAACCTTACGAATTATATGAAGAATTACACTTAATGATGTATGTGTAACAGATATGAAACAGCTTCACCAATAAGTTACGGAAAATAATTTTAAAAAATATACCCAAACATTTACACGGTCATTTAACAATACCGATCAGTACAGCCTCCGCTGAAGGAAGCTTCTTATAATTAGTACTCGTTAAAAATTATCTCCGGAATGCAATGTCACAGAAAAGACTTTCAGCGTTGAAAGTTTTA